ACTGGTTCTTCACATTCCCAACATCGTTCGTTTATAGGTTCAGGGGAGTGACCTATTTGCACAAGCATTACTTCTTTCTGAGCCTCATATTTTGCTTCGTTGTTTGTTTTGTTTCTGTGTTTCATAATAATGGTAGACAATGGGGTTCAGCAGATTTCTCAGAAGGTTTCCAGGTTCTGCTGTCCCCAAGTGAGAAACTGCACAGAGTCACACAGTTGCATCAGAAGTAGAAACAGGTTGCTAGGGAAAGGTATGCTTCAAAGAAAGAGGAGGACCAGCACACTGAAAGTTTACTGGTTTGACTAGTAATGCTGAACAACGTGCCAGTGCTTTTATGTCACAATGTGCAGGATTTGGGGCTCATCCATCTAGGGTGTGCTTTTCTGTACAAGCTCTGTTACTTGTGGCTCGATATACGACTTCATATGTCAAGTTTATCATTAGTATCTTAAATGTCCTCTCTGGGATATGTGTATTAGTATTATGAGGGCTGAAGCTCCTTTTTATTGATAGAGTGCTGACTTTGCATAAACAAAGCCCTACATTTAATCCCTAATACAGCAAAAGTTAAATTGACCAAAGTCTCTATTTCTCTTTAATTTGTATAACAAACTATAGGTCACCTCCAGACACTCTGGAGTGAATGTCTCTTTACTTATGTCATTGCCCTGATTTAGTGGAGGCAGAGACGTTCCCAGCCGTCTTCTTTCCCAACTGTCTTTTTTAATATGCTAATTTTGTAAAGTTTGGTGTAAAGCCTGCTCTGAATATGATATGGCTTCACTATGTCATATGTCAGGTCAGGGTCTGCAAGAAAGCAGATACTGAGTTTTACTGAGGAGCTTGCCTGAGAGATGAAGAAGGAGATACAGGGGTGGCAAGGCTTGCTCTGCTTTGGTGCTGTTCTGTTAACTACAAAAGGAGAAAGGGAAGGGGAGACAATTAAACAGGAAGAGGCTGAGATGGTACTGTAGCTATGGGAACACAGAGGCAAAGATTTCCACATATGGGGCAGAAGCAAGCTCTCACACCTCACATGTCAGCATGTTTTGAAGATTATAGCTGGATGCTAGGAGATAGCTGCTCATCTCTGAGATTTTCTCTTGAAGCATCTAGTAAGATCTCAACTACACACTATTGTAGCCATTGCATGAGGTATTTAATTCTGTACTTGTAAGGGGGCATACATACCCACTCGCCGCAATATCATTTGCCATATCTTCCTGTGACTGAATATATCCCTTGTAATTAGCAGAACCTAAATGAAAGTTTATACACCACATATGGACAACAGTCTTCCGGGTCACTGTGTTTTAGTCATGGCCACTCTTTCTATGTCAGAAGAACATCATGACCCATTAGGGATTGATTACACAATGAAGAAAGAATGTGAGCTAGAGGCACAGCTAATGAACCATTGCTACTTCATGATGACCTAAATAAATAATCTGCCTGATATGTCGATGGCATTTTGCCTTGCATTTATTTCTCTGATTCTTTATAACAGCTATTCTCAGTGATGGATACTTCCTCTTTAGGGTTCTGGATTAATAACGTTAGAAACAAATGGATGATCCCACTGCCAGGGGTCTTAAAAACAGACTAGTATCTGTCCCTCGTGCATGAGCTGGCTTTTTGAAGCTCATTTCATCTGGTGGGATGCTTTGCTCAGTCTGATATGTGTGTGTGGTAGGGAGAGCTTGGTCCTGCCCCAACTACTCCTAATGGGAAGTCTTACCCTTTTTCAGGAGTGGATGGGGAAGACTGCGGGAAGGTAGAGGAAGGGGGAGGGGGCGCCTGTGGATGGTATGTAAAATTAACAAAAAAATAAAATAAAATAACTAAATAGATGAAGTTCTGAAGGGACAAAAATCACAGATCATATTGACAGATACTCAGCAGATCTGATTCTACTGTTGCCTTTAGGATGCGATATCTTTCATTTGGCATGTTTAAAAAAAAAAAAAAAAACAGATATTCAGCAGATTCAGAAACTGGTTATATGCTTCATTCCATGATCTTCAGTGTGCTTTGGACACAACACCCTCTAAATCTCTTGCAATTAGCTGTGTCATTATCCTTACTTCTTGTCCTTAACCTTGTCTTGAACAAAGGCCTGTGCAAACGTAACTCCCTCTTAGCCACCTCTTAGCCACGTGTTTTATTATGTATTCACTGCCAGGTGGAACTAAACTTGCATCTTTATACCTGTTATTATTTGAAGCACACATTGTATTTCACTTGGAAGAAGTGTTACTGTGCGTAACAGGATATTTATGAGCAAAACCGGCATTACACAAGATTGTTTTGTCCTGATAAACAGATAATCCTGACACAAAGAAGCAGGGCTAATTATCTGTCTGGGAAAAGGTGCAGGCTCTATTTAGGTCAAAGGTAACAGATAAATTGCTGATACAATTATTGCTAGTAACTGTCTCATAAGTGCCTGTGTGCATTAACACATGTGTAGATCTCCCTAGGTGAGTATGTTCCTGGCAAAGAGGCAGCTGTCTAAATAAATCTTTAAAGAAGCTTTTGTTCAATGTGATACAACGGAAATGAAAAAGGAGACATGCAGATGAAAATAATTTAAGGCAAAGTTAGATGAAATCAAATATCTCATCTTCTGTGTGTGTCATCCCAGAGTGAAATCTTCCCATATGCTCGACTCCTCTCCCCACCACTAAGCCCATTTTCCCAGAAATTCTTAATGGTTTTTCCACAAAACACTCTGTGCAAGATTCTCATTTGTGTCCTGATTGATGGTCTTGAAACAAAGCAAAAATTAAAATGCACAGAAACATTAAACAGGATGCTTCCTGCCGCTCTATGAAAACCCACTCTGCTGACATGTTGAGGCCACCTGAATCTTGCATGCTCATTGCCCTGCTTTAACACTGCCATCCATGCTACTAAGATGCCATACACAGTGTCTTAATCATGAACTCAAAATGTTAAGCAAGAAAGGAGAGCGATAAGAGTTGTGTTGAAGCAGCAAATTATTGTTGTAAGTGCTAGAAACAAACTGGAAAGATCTTGCTGTGTCTTTTGGCTTTCCCCATAACATACATGAAATTCTCACAATTCCCAAGTTCAGCAGTTCTCTACTTGTGGGTGGTGACCCTTTGGGGTCAAAAGACACTTTCACAGGGGTGGCATATCAGATATTTGTATTATGATTCAAAGAATTACAGTTATACAGTGGCAATGAAAATAATTTTATGGTGGAGATTCACCACAACATGAGGAACTGTATTAAAGGGTCACAGCATTAGGAAGGTTGAGAACCACTGCCCAAGTTGAAAATGGAAAACATTTCATTTCCCATTATTGTTCCTATTCAAATTTTATTTTCAAAGTTTATTTACTTATTTATTTATATGTTTACTTATTTATTGCTGTTTGAAATTGAACCTAGGGCCTCATCTTTGTAAAAGCCATGCTCTACTACTGAGATACATTCCTAAGCCTGAAAATTTAAGGTATGATGAATATCATATTGGTATGAAAGACTTGATAAACAAAATTCAAATCTTACTTTGAATTGCATCATTTATAGAAATTAAGATAAAAATCCAGTTTAATATTTCCAAATAAACCTATATGCTAAAAAGGCAGAGTCAACAAGCTTACAAAATTCATACACTCTGAGTTTCTGTTAACAATTCACACATTTCAGGGAAATGCAAATATTTTACACATGATTTTTCTCTTAGCTTTTCCCTTCAGTGAATGAGCCTGATGGACAAATCAAGCTCTAGGAAAAATCTTCCTCCTAAAAGTTCACATACATATTTATGATGTTTTCTTCATAAAGATTTGCCACTGTATACAGTAAAGAAAGAAACCACAAGCAGTGTTTCTTCTGTAGCTAACTGAACTTCAAACTACACCTTTCTAAATCTTCATATTTTCCCTTGTGAAACCTGAAAAATACTAAATTTGGAAACTTTTTATATCCTCAATACTTAAGAAGTAGAGTCATATCAGGATCAGGTCTTTTTAAACTTTGTTAAATGTTTTTTTTTTTTTGAGGTGGGCTTGTTGCTTATTGGTACCATATATTTAACATCGAAGGATGGGGAATGTTTCTAGAAAACAAAGGGACAGACAATTCACTCATGAGTTTGAAACGTGTTTCCTCTCCTCTTCTTCCACTGTCCTTGCTCCATCTGTCTTCCTCCACACAACTGTCTTCCTGCCTCCTGTCTTAGCTTTTCCTTCCGCCTTCTTTCCTCTTTTCCTTTTCCCCTCTAACACCTCCTTCCTCTCTTCTTACTCTCTGGGTTTCATTCATAGTCTTTTCCTTTCTCCCATTCTGTCTTCCTTCGTCCTTCTCTCCCCTGTTCTCCCTTCCTGCTACCCTATTGCTCCTCCCCAGCCTTTGCCTTTGAGTTTTTATTCTCTCTTCCTACTCTTCCTACTGCTTATTAACAGAACCTTTCCCGCTCTTGCTTGTGCCGGTTTTCTGAACATGTTTAGGAGGCAATCAGGGATGATTTTGGAAGGCAGCTACGCTCACCAATATACCACCAACGCCGCTAGGGATGGTTTTGGTGAAAGGAATGGCGTCTAGGAGCTAGTCTAGGGAATATAGTCGCCACATTTTTGTCTACAATTCAGGTCACGGGACAGGATTCGCCACCAAGGGTTTTGTTGTTGTTGTTTATTTTTATGAGTGGTTGAATATAAAATCCCATTGTGCAGGACTTTCTCCCTTAGGATAGTAAGTTCATCGGGAGGTGAAGATGCCTGTAGACACATGTTAAACTTTTCAAATCTAATCAAATTGTTTTGGTTTTACTTTCAGAGTTTGACTTTGAAGTAAAGACTGCTTTCATGTCATTTAAGACTGGTCTAAATATCAACCCCTTGTAAAATGGTACACATCTTCACCAGTGAGAATTTTCACCTCTCAAGAACATGCTGGTGGTATCTTTGCTTTCAAGTACATCCTGGGTGCTTTTCTCTTCACAAGTGGTTTCTGCTTTCTCTTACAGCATAGGGGGAGAAGTAGGGCGAGGCCAGGACGCCAGCTACGCGGGCAAGCATTTCCGCATGGGGTTCATGACGATGCCTGCTCCTCAGGACAGACTCCCGCATCCCTGTTCCAGTGGATTCACTGTGAGATCTCAGTCCCTGCACTCCGTTGGGGGCACCGAAGATGACAGCAGCTGTGGATCCCGGAGACAACCGCCACCCAAGCCCAAGCGAGACCCCAGCACCAAGCTTAGCACCTCATCAGAGACAGTCAACAGCACTGCAGCCACTAAAAGTGGGAGACCCCTGGAGAGGGCAGAAGGTAAACTCATCATGCCCACTTCCCAGTCATCTCCAAGGGCTTCAACATCTGGGAATCTGTTTCCTCCTCATGGGTCCCAGGGAAGAAACATGAAGGGTAGGAGGCATTATGGTGTGTTGTCAAAAAACACCCAACTGTACTTAATAAGCTCAACCAGAAAAGTCAGATAGTACAGGTATTTCAGTTCAGAAGCAGAATGCTTGCAATCACATGTGTGGGACTCCAAGTTCAGTCCCCAGTACAAAAACAGAACAAAAATGGGCAAGGCGATGTGTGAGCTTTGCAGCCCTTTTAAGGATTTGAATTATCCCCAAATTATTTTTGCTTAGAAGTATATCTACTATTTATATTTTCTTACTATGTAATTTGCTATTTACATAGTTAAAAGACATGTTGGGTAGTCATTGGAACACTTCACAAGGGAGATTTTAATGTGGGAAATATATGGTTTTTTTTTTTTGTTTCTTGTTTTGGTTTTGGATTTTTCGAGACAGGGTTTCTCTGTATTGCTTTGGAGCCTATCCTGGAACTTGCTCTGTAGACAAGGCTGGTCTCAAACTCACAGAAATCTTCCTGCCTCTGACCCCCGAGGGCTGGGATTGAGGTATGAGCCACCAACATCCAGCTGTGGGAAGTATATGAAGAAAAATTTATGATCATACCTTTTAGAAATAGCCATTTGTACATCATTTCCTTCCTTGTGTGTCTGTATCAGCTAAGTATTTCAGTCTCTGCTTCATATGTCTTATTTCTTCCTTTGTAGTTGTTTTTTTTTTCTTTTCTCTCAGGTATGAGATACACAAATAAAACACAGCTACTGTGGATATTTGAATAGAAATCTGGTCACATTAGCCTAATATCTCACAAATCCTTTAGCTCTTCTTGAATAAGGGTGCCCATAGTTTACTTGATCTTGTCCCAGAAGCACCTTGGTTGAAGTAGAGTTGTAAGTGAGCCTTGACACAGCTGTCCCAGTTAGGCTGCTATATCAAATTGACTTTGACTGTCTTGTTTATGAAGAGTGGCAATTCATTTTTCCAGCTCTACTACAAATCTCGGGAGCCAACATGATCTCAAAATAGAGCTCCCTTCAAGGTTTTGGAGTCTTGTCTTCTGATAGTCTTGCCTTGTATGAGATGGGACTGAGTGTAAGAATGTTAAGGAATCTTGTCTACAAAGGCTCTGACTTTGGGTCCTTATTACCTCCCAAAGATGCCAACTTCCAAAAACCACCACAGGGAGCTTAAAGTTTCAGGACTTTAATTCTGAGGAACACATCATTGTGTCCCGTGTTCCAAGTCATTTGGATGTTTGTGTGTCAGCTATGAGGCATACCTCAATGTCTGCAATCCTGACAGTGGTGAGGCAACAGAAGACCTCTGTCTAGTCCTGTGGTCTTTCTTCTACCCTACCTGTGCCTGAGTTTGAAGCTTCCCTGAGTCCAAGAATACCGCTTTTGAGGCCTGTTTATAATGAAAGCAAAATATGTCATCTTTTTCTCTACTGACAGTTCTTCTCCACCTGAAATTTCCAGTTCTTCCTGACTCTTTGCCCAGAAATTCACATGTAGTATGAGAAATAAGATGCCTGTGGATACCATGCCTCCTTTCCGTTCACTCTTCTTACATCTTTCTGGTCCTTGCTGCCCAGATATTATCTCAGTGAATTGCTAAATAATGCAGATTGATAACTGGAAATGGAACAAATCCTTCTAATTTGAAAGGACAGTTTTCCTTTTTAATATTCTGTTTGTCCACATCTACACTAGTATCAGATTGTGTGCATGCATGCGTGTGTGTGCGTGCATGCGTGTGTGTGCGCGCGCACGCACGCGTGTCTGTGTGTGTGTGTCTGTATGTGTGAGAGCTAGAAACCATAGCACAGGATGCTCACTGCATTTCCAGTCCTGTATTTTCATTGTGACTCATTTTCATGGCATCCAATTTCAAGGAAAACACTATTTTTACAGAGAAAAATGCTCACTATAAGGATTTACTTGTTATCTATTTTGTTGGTAATTTTTTTTTTTTTTTTTTTTTTTTTTTTTTTTTTTTTTTTTTGTTTTTCGAGACAGGGTTTCTCTGTAGCTTTGGAGGCTGTCCTGAAACTAGCTCTTGTAGACCAGGCTGGTCTCGAACTCACAGAGATCCACCTGCCTCTGCCTCCCAAGTGTTAGGATTAAAGGCATGTGCCACCAATGCCCGGCTTTATTGGTAATTTTTAATGCAGCTTCCAGCATGCATGTGTGGGTTTGTGTGACAGTGTGTGCACAAGCATGTCTGTTTACATTCTGAGAAGACTCTAGTTCTCCTTATCTTCTTAGCATCCATTAGAATTTGGATCCCTTTTCTCATGATTCCTCCTCCCATCTTCCTCCTCCCCCCACTTCTCCCAACCCACCCCTATTCACTCCTCAGAAAGATTAAGGCCTCCCATGAGGAATCAACAAAGCCTGGCACATTCAGTTGAGGCAGGACCAAGCTCCCCCTACCCTACATCGAGACTGAGCAAGGTATCCCACCATATGGAATGGGCTTCAAAAATCTGGCTCATACACAAGGGATAGATCCTGGTCCCACTGCCAGGGTCAGTGAGTGGGGTAACCAAGACCAAGAAAGACAAACATGGTATGTACTCACTCATAAGTGGATACTAGATGTAAAGCAAAGAATAACCAGATCACAATCCACAGCTCCAGAGAAGCTAGGTAACAAGGAGGCCACTAAGAGGGAAACATGGTGTCTTTCATATCTCTTTATTATGTGTGATCCTATGTTCAAAAATCAACTGTCTTTTGTTTCTGCTTCCAGAACTATATAATCAATTATATCAGGTTATTTGCCAAATAAAACTATAGATTCAAGACAGGCATTTCTGAGTGATAAGGCCTATATGTGGTGATATCTTGTTTATACAAATAAAGCATTCTGAAGATGAGAGAAATGAAGGAGCAAGCCAGAGCCACACCTTACCCGCCTAACTGAGTTCCTGTTTCCTCTTGCCTATCTCCTTTCTCCTCCCCATCATCTTACTTCCTGTCTGTTAGCTAGTGTCAAACTGTACCCTCTGATCTTTGGACATGCTTCATTTGTAAAAACAAAATATCACCACACATGTATGTATTTCAGAGTGATTCAAAAATAAAAGGAAAGGTGGGAATAGTGGGATGCTATGCTGGATGCATAGCATTTTGGAAACTTTTATTAGGAGATCCCAAGTTCAAGACAAGCCTGGGCTACATAGAAAGTTCCAAGATAACTCAGGCTTTGAACTTGTAGTTCAAGACAAGCCTGGGCTACATAGAAAGTTCCAAGATAACTCAGGCTGCAAAGATTGTAAGAGCTGTGACATAAGGCCATGCCATGCAGTCAACTCCTAGAAGGACCATATGGTACACTCCTCAGAAGGGCCTTGCTAAGAGGACGGGAACGGGGAGTACTGAGAGAGAAACTAGGGGCGCAGTCATGATCACCTGCTCTTAGAAGCAATCACCTTAAAATGGAACAAATCTCCATCCACTTGTAATATATTGAAGCCATTATTTTATCTCAGGCACTTACACTGATCATGCATCAAGGGTTCTTCAGGGATAGTTATTAAACAGACAGTAGCCTTTTGATAATTGTTTTTGTTTTTTGAACAGGACCTGAGGAAGTGACTAAATTTCTGTGGTGAGGACTTAAGTTAGATAGATGTAAAAATTGTTTGATGGACTCTGCAACTTATGGACCACCAGGCCCCAATTCAACATTTCTCTTCAGAAAGGACCCTCAGGATGGACTGGAAAGCCCTTAGCTGTGTGGGTGTATAAGGGTATCACATGGGCTGGATGATGGTTTGAATCTAATAAAAGCAAAACAGCCTTTACTATGCAGATTTCCCTTTCTCTTTGGAGCTAATGAAAAATGGACAATTGCAAAGCCATATGTACTCAATCATCTTCTAATGAGTCATTAGAAGAATAAGGACAGGGTTAAATCAGGGTTCAGTTCAGAGATGGGAGGAAATCTCTTGAGTCCAAGAGCATGTGCACACATGTCCATACTCAAATCCAAAATTATTTAAATACAAAGATTGGTCTTTTATGAATCCTCAGTTCTTTATAATCACTGGAGCTCACTGGAGTTTGTTGTAGAGCTCGTGTTTTCTTTGCCGACTCCTTGCTGTCAACATTATAACAGAAGAAAATGTGACTTTTATACATCTTAGCCTGTCTTTTCTTTTTCACCTGAAATGTCAGCAAAATCACAATATTGATTCGGGGGCATTAGAATGATTTCCATGGTAACCAGCTGCTATTTAAAGAGCGGATTATGACTTCCCTGTGGATAGAAGTAAAAGGAAGTGGACTTTAGCAAAAATAGCTTTTCAGAATTAAGAAAAGGAGAGAAATTTGAACACACACATATGCAGGCACACACACACAAATCACACCAAGGGGAAGAGTAAGATTTGGTGTTTAAAAGTTGTTCTATCACATTCAAATATATATTGGCCTTTGAGTGGATTCTTCTACCATACTACTGCCTCTAAAATTGGATATCATAAACTGGCAATCATCAAACTACAAATATTTAGATGGTTGGGGTTTTTGTTTCGGTCTCTCTGTGGAGGTTGTTTTTGTTAGAAAACAACAGAAAAAGAGTTCTCTAGAAAGAACAACAGGTCATACAAGCTGCATCTTGGGAGTCATTCAACCAAAGAAGCATCTATGCAGCTTTACCTCAGTTGTCATCCTGTCTCCAAAGAACCCATTCTTCCTTAAACACAGGGAGAGAAACACTGCCTGGCCATGGTCAGGAGATTGCTCACCAAGCCAAGAGGCAAGTGACAAAACAAAACTTTATTAAACTTTGAGATAACATCTACAGCACCAAAATCTAAATGGTACTCATAGCTTTATGATGACTCAGCGTGTCAGTACTAATAGTGTGTATGATAAAAATAAATTGCTAACAAATATAGGTTTAATACAATACTAAATTTCATTAGTAAGACTC